TTGGACAGCCCAAAGGCCCGCTGGCACCTTTCTGCTCGAGTGTCACTCAACTTTAAGCCCTAGCTATACCCTTTCATTATGAGCATTTCCATTTGTGGTTTTCTTAATCCCTTTTGTTTACCCTCGAGATTGCCAGCAGACTGGTTGCATTTGCGTCCGAATATTCATGGAACTGCGCGCAGCCAAGGTCACATTCGAGCATTTCCCCACCTTTGCTTACCTCACTGAGGACAGCATGGATGGACTTCATGCACCGGATTCACTGGAGCCATGTGATGGGCAACAGGTCACATGGCATTCCAGCATTCCAGCGGAAGTGAGTACCGAAGTGTACCCGGTCGCAGCCAGTGCAATTTTTTCTGATTATCCTTTATCCGGACAGATTTTGATACGTTTTTTGGTCCATGAGAGAAGCTTTGCATTCGGCCTGGGTGTAGCTTTGACCGACATGCACCTGCAGACAGATCCCGAGCATTCCAAACACTTCTTCGGGCTGTACCACGGAGGACACAGCACGAATGTGTGCATGCAAGCAAAGAGAACATACAGAGGTGCTGGCCACAGCTTAGCCTGGAATTCTGGAACAAGATTGGCCATCCTACTTGACCTTGAGGAACATAACATGCAATGCTATGATGGCCTGCAACCCTTTGGGCCAATGCAGAAGCTGCCTCCAGAAGATTTGTATCCTGTGATCTCCCTCTTCCGTCCAGGTGATAGCATAGCAGTTTCGGTGAGCTACGTGTAACGCGGCGTGCCGCCGCGTGCCGCGGCGATGCCGCGTGCCGACTCGGAGTCGATCGAGGGAGCCGTGTAACGCGTGAAAAAGAGTGAGTACCGACCTCGGAAGCTGTTTTGGTGTTCTTTGATAAAGAGATCCTGCCGTCGCACGACCGTGCGTGGTCAGATTTTGATATACTACTATCCAGTCACGGCATGCTCCTGCATGTCATGTTTTCTTTCACCCAGGCCAGAACAACACGCAGCTTGGCAGAAGTACAAGTTATTTCCACGCTTTTTGAACCTTAAGTTGGTTGAGCCTTGTCATGCTTTGCAGCCCTCAGACAGAGGAGATCACAAGATGCAGTCTCAGTGTTTGCAAACCCACTTTCTTGTCTATCCATCCTTGGTGCTTGGGATCTCTTGGCGTGTGCAAGAGAGGCATGAAGCATTTGGACAACCCAAGGCGGGCCTACTTGGCAGCCGTTGTCAATGAACAAGCGAGGTCGGGAGCACCATATTGCCGTTGTTTGCTGGCACAAGCACCTTCCTGATTCAATTCGGTAGGTAGTGGAGTAGTGGATCACCATGATGACCTAAATTGAGGAATTTGGTTGGACTGATGGCTGATGCTCTTGCGGTGCTTCGTATCGCAAACACAGAGGGAGTTTAGTGCAACGGTGCCTTCATGATGACCCCCAGCACCCGGCTGGGATAAACAAATCATCCTCACGAAACAAGGAGAAATATGAGAAGAATCTTTGCTTAGCCAGGATGCTACGTATGTTTCCCAGGCGTTCATTTGCAATTTGATCCCGAAGTTGCGTCCTCAGAGGTTGACTGAGGGGATGGCCAAATCCTTCCCCTTCAGGTCGCAGAAACCCGATACTTGAGACTGATTCCAAGAATTCCAAGGTCGCATTTGTCGTATCGTCGCAGGCAAAGACGGGAATGTAACAATGTCAGCACGATTTTGCTCGATGATGCGCCATGGCTTGAAAGGGTGGATGTTGCCGTGACTGGCGCATGACATGGCGTAGGTGAACAGTGCCCGCGTTGGTGCTCGAAACCTGTTTGTCGTGCTCGAAAGGTCAGGGACATGACAACATAGTGCGGTGCAACATCGTGCAAGCATGTGTGGTTCCCGGTGGACCCGAAGGGAACTTGTCGGACAAGATCTAGAACACCTACCGCAGCCATCCGAGGAGAAGCTGGCAGAGGTTGCTCGGAGGATCTCCGAAAGCGACGCCCGGAGTCCCGCGGAATTCGGAAAGAGAAGGGTGGTGGCGTGGGGTCGTTTCTCGGCTTCTCCATGTTATTCTCCATGCGACGTGGTTGAAAGATGGACTCGCATGCATGCAAAAGAATTGCTTGAAAGCCAAACTCATAAAGTGCACTCTTTCATTTGCAAAGACCTATTGGACAATGATCCTTTGGAGGAACTGGATTAATCTGTGTCATGTTTGCTGGGGAGAAGTCCCTCCTTTGAAGTGCGATTGCCGAAAGTTCCCTCAATCGAATCCAAATGCAACTAAGACCTATACTTACTACTGACCTTCAACTTTGCATACACTTACGCAGAGTTGGATTGGATCTTCCCATTTCATGTGCCTCAAAAGGTTTGAGCTGCTGGAACATCGATATGTGAGGCAAATAATGGTAGGCGCGCACACACACACACAGTCGTTGCAGTGGGGAGAGGGAGAGGGCTTGTAGCAAATCGAGGATCCTGGGATTAATGCCTGTTTCTTTGATACTGAAGGAGGTGGAACAGGACACCGCGTGCGCACGACGTGCGAGCCTGTGGCCCTTGGCGGCTCAGCGTGTCCCAAACCTGAAAGATTTGAATGGAGAATCCTAGCCCTAGCCCCTGCTTCAAAGGATTGGACGTCAATATCAACACACACACATGCAACATATAAAAGAATATTAAAAACACTTAAAAACACATCTAAAAATATTAACATAGAATTGTGTCATTTGTACTTGGTACATTCCTATCAACTTACATGTTAGGTGTTTGATCACATTGAATTCCGCCATTTGAGGCCATTGCCTCCATTGAGCGGGCACAGAGGGACTACGCCAAAGCTGGTTCCAGCCTCGGATACAGCTGAGGCTCCCCTCGGGACAATCCAATAAGTCAGCCTTTCGATAGCTAGGACCACTAGATTTTCGGGAGTTGCTTGGTGCTCCAGTGATAGCGAGAGAGAGTGACTGTGGAGCCGCAAGGAGAGACCAGGTCATAGCCGGGTGGCGGTGCAAACTGAGGGTCGCGCCGTTGTGTCGTGGCACTCCATCGAAATTGAAGGGACTCCGTGAAGCGGGTATTCAGTATTGATGCTTTTGATTTCTCAGCCTCACGTTGCGACCCCAAGCCACGAACCAATTTCTTTCAGTGCTAGTTTGACGCATCCTGCTTCTTA